CGCATCGCGCAGACCAATTCGACGTCACGCGGACCTATCAGCCGCGCGCGCGGATATTTCAGCCGTGGGACGGCGCTATCAGGTGTCTCCCAGCTGCTTCCAGTGACCGTTGAAACACCCACAGCAAGGTAGGTCCTCCACAATTTCCTCTTCTGGCGTTATATAGAGACAGCGACTGCTTTTCTAACTAGGCCTATCAGGTGGCGGACTATCCAAGGGTCATCCGAAGCCAGAAATAATCGGCAGGTCTTAAAATTAAATCGAGATATAGGGAGCACAGTCCAACATCGGCGACACATCACGTCCATATTATCAAGGTAAACAAACGCCAAACACAGCATTTTGGGGCCATTAGAAGTAAATAAATCCACAGATACGACTTGTTGGCTGTAATTGGGTGTCCAGAACAGCATAACTGTACTCTGGAACCGATGTAATGAGCCTGCAGTGTGGAAACGTGAGGTGGAAGTGATACCGCTATAACGCCCCCTCCCCCATTTTTAGTACGGACCACGTGTAGTACGATGTTAGTTCTAAGACGCAGTAACTTTATCTTGGTAACACTGGTTCTTTTTTATGCATCATAGATATGTTGTATTCATTTAAAGTTATCAATTACATGTATGTTTATGTTGACAAGTTTATTAATTTTCCTTTTAAATCTCTATTTCAGCCATGTAGTACAAGTTTGATGAATAGAACAGGTTAATAACGTAGCAGGCCCAGTGTTGGAGATGGAGAGCCACCTGGCAGGCCCAGTGTTGGAGATGGAGAGCCACCTGGCAGGCCCAGTGTTGGAGATGGAGAACCGTAGACTCTGTATCCAACTTTGTTCATCTTTTCAAGAGTAAACTAAGTGCCTCTTAGACCATGCTTTATTTCTGTTTTTAATTTTCAACTATGTTGGTTGGTTTGTACCTTACCTAGACTCTGTATTCAACTTTGTAAAGATTTTCAAGACCAAAACTAAGTGCCTCTTAGACCATGTTTTGTTTCTGTTGGCTGGTTTGTACCCCATGGATCTGTAGAATCTGAATTCAACTTTGTAAATATGTTCAAGAGCAAAACTAAGTGCCTTTTACACCATGTTTTATTTCTGTTTCTGTTGGTTGGTTTGTACCTTATGGATTTGTAGAATCCGAATTCAACTTTGTCCCTTTTTGAAGAGTAAACTTAAGTGTCTTTTGATTGCAGTATCACTGTTTCTCAGGTGATGTACAATATCAAAAACATGATGTTACAATTCAGGAAAAATAGATGTGTACAGATGTAGAATACATCTGGTTATCTATAGCTATGAATAAAACTGCAGTACATAGTGATTACAATAATTTTTGTCAAGTGATGTATAACAATAACATTTTTTTTGTAATTTCACACTGTTGATATTATGTGCCCTATATGTTTTGTCCTTATGTGTTGACTCTCTAACATCAGCTTTGCTGCCTTGAGAGTCAGTGTAATGTCTTGTTGCATTTTCAATAAATAAAATAAATAGAAAGAACATGGTATTCAATTGGTAGACAATTCAGCAAAAATATATGGTACATGTATTTTTGTTAACAATCAGAATAAATTTAGTAATATATGCTTATGATCTGTGTGCCATTTTTTTTGCTTTTCAAAACTTTACAACATACAATATTTGTACAATGTAAAGTATAACTATAAAGTCAATATAGTGCAATGATGTAAGGCTGAGATGGTCCATTCATTAAATCTGTAAATATGACAACCTGAAAAAAGTATAGTATTCATCTGATATGTGCGATTTCAGGTGCACTGCATAGTACTGAAATTGACAAATACTAGTACTAGTACTCTCTTCAATAAGCAGCTCCATGAATGTAGATTTTTGCTGCAAATATAGTTACTTGAATACTGGGATCTGTGCATTTTAGCTCTACCATGACCTTTGGGAGTAACTCTATCATCTCCTGGATAGCGTTGTGAACCAAGGATGCAGAGTCTTCATCAAGGTCCAGAACATCTGCAGCAGATGTTTGAGTTTGCTCCTCTTTTGTTCCTGAAGGTTCCTTGAGTTTCCATGCTGACAGTGTTCTGCCCATGACACGAGACGTCACTGGAGTACCAAACCGGATCTTTTTCCTTGCCCTGCTCTGTAGGTAAGGCGACACAGGGCTAGATGTGTGCTTGGTCCCTCGTTGTCCTTTCCTGCGTGGAGTCGACCATGGGGAAAGACGTGATCTCTTACTGTCTGGGGAAAAGGGACTTGCAGGGACTGCAGTGCTGACATCTTCTTCCTCTGTCTCCCATCCATCTCCAATATCTGATTCTTTGTCTGCCTTCAAGGTGCCTTTGCGCCGACACCTCTCACGTGGGTAGAGTGTTAGCCTTAGTCGACGAGGCATCTCTGTAATTGATATGACAGACCCGTCAGGGTGTATCATTTGCAGTGACACATTAAACTGGCCGCATAGTTGTGTATTTCCTATGTGTATAATGAATAATACAACCTTGCAAAGATCCAGTTAAAAAACAAGAAATATATGACATATGCATGTTCGTTGAATCATACAGGTAATGCCTACAAATACAATGACAGAAGGTATTCACTGCATATTGCCAAGATCAACCGATACGACAAAGACACTATTGCCTGTTGGAGCTTAGTATGGTACTAACATATATGTAAAGGCCTAATGACTAAAATGGGGGAGGGGGGCGTTATAGCGGTATCACTTCCACCTCACGTTTTCACACTGCAGGCTCATTACATCGGTTCCAGAGTACAGTTATGCTGTTCTGGACACCCAATTACAGCCAACAAGTCGTATCTGTGGATTTATTTACTTCTAATGGCCCCAAAATGCTGTGTTTGGCGTTTGTTTACCTTGATAATATGGACGTGATGTGTCGCCGATGTTGGACTGTGCTCCCTATATCTCGATTTAATTTTAAGACCTGCCGATTATTTCTGGCTTCGGATGACCCTTGGATAGTCCGCCACCTGATAGGCCTAGTTAGAAAAGCAGTCGCTGTCTCTATATAACGCCAGAAGAGGAAATTGTGGAGGACCTACCTTGCTGTGGGTGTTTCAACGGTCACTGGAAGCAGCTGGGAGACACCTGATAGCGCCGTCCCACGGCTGAAATATCCGCGCGCGCGGCTGATAGGTCCGCGTGACGTCGAATTGGTCTGCGCGATGCGGCTGATTGGTCTGCGCGGGCGGCTGATTTCTCCGCCCCGCGTCGAAAGGGTCTGCGCGTCGCGGCTGATAGATCCTTCCCACCACCGAATGTGTCTGGCCATCCCGTGACGTAGGTTGTACCCCGTGTGTTTGCTGCTTAGGTACGGACCCGAATCAGAGCTAGTACGGGATAAAGTGCGAGAGGTGGACAATATGCTCGGCTATCTGCGACAGGAGCTGGCGGTAAGATCTCTTGTGTAGTTTTCTCTCAATTAATAAACAAACACCTTCAATAACAGACCATACATAGGCAGCTATTCAATCAGCAAAATGAAAAAAAAAGGTTAAAAAAAGAAATATTGTCGATTGTCGAGCTACAGGGACTCGCATTTGTGCAGTTTGTCCATATTGTTTCCTGTACTCATTTCCACATGTTCGCAGCGCACCGTTAAGCGTTATGTTTTGAATGCAGCGTCGCCCTGTCCTTGGTGCTGAATTCGCTCTTCTATTGGAAGAATTGCCTTCCAGTGTGAGAATCGCTTGCTAAAAATTCTTATCGGCCATATTGTGTTGGGTATTTTTGTCTGTCTCTTTGATTGTGTTTATTAGTATTTAAATGAGATTTAGAGGAGATTTGGTTACCATAGATTGACCTTAAGGTCAGGTTGGAAGGAAATTTTGACTAGCAGGCTGTGAGAAAGTGCACGGAAGCCATACACTTATTTTAGACCATCTCTTTGGTTGTGCCAATAAATTGAAGAAAAAACTCCAGATACTTCAGATTCATTGTTTATTGTTGTAATCACTTGAACCTTGAATGTGTTATTTTCAGGATACGGGACTTGAACAATCAGTGAACGTAATAATCCTGTCTGATCACGGCATGGCCTCCTTACCTGACTTCAGCGCCTCTAGCGGCTACATCAGACTTGCAGACTACATAGACGTCAACGACCTGAAGAGACCAACGTTCTACTCGGACATGCTCGTCCACATCTGGCCAAAGGACGGACTGTTAGAAAAGGCATGATGAGATGTTGTTTGGGGTGGTTTGTCTGTGGGTTTGTGTGTATGTTTGTCCAGCAGAGATGGTTGGGAGAGAGTTGGTGGATACTGCATTTGGTTACTTGATTGACAGGGAGGTTCAGCCTGAGCTGACCTATCACACGCCAGGTGTAAGTGGTTGGTACGTGGAGGAATTCAGGAATTAGTTGACTGTTAGAGGTGTGTCTGATAGACCATTGAAACAAGAATTGTTTTTTTCTGGCTTCCAGGTTTATTCCGATCTCCTAAACGTCCCCCACTCCGTCGTGTTGAAGAAAGAAGAAATTCCTGACGACTGGCACTACAAGCGAGGGAAATACGTCCCACCACTGACACTGCTCACGCAGTATCCCTGGCTTGTGTTTGAGGTTCGTCAAGGATTTTTATAGGTTTCACGAATCTCAAAATTGTATTGTTTTCGTCGTCGCCGATGAGAGCCGCCATGTTGGAATTTGACGTCATGCAGGCGCCATCTTGTATTTGTTTCCGGTTATATCGCACGTCTTCACCGACATTTTTTATCATAAACTAAATTCATTCATTATTCAAAATATGGCAACCACATACAGACATGTAATATACATATAATACGTATATTGCATACGCAGATAACCCACTGATGTATTCAAATCTCCCTTGTAGGACGCTGCCATTCCCTGGACCTGGGATAACACTACCCACTATGTGCGGGGCAGTCACGGGTTCAACAGCAACAGGATGGACATGAAGGGTGTCTTTATGGCATTCGGGCCAGGTTAGCGCTCAGAATAAGCCACTTCACAGTTTAAAGAAAGTACTCTTCCATACGTTGAAATTTCTACCCTTTACTGCTGGTTGTACAGCAATATAGAACGTCATCTAAATATTGAAATTCCTTCTTTTCTTCCAGATTTCCGACAAGGGTACGAAGCAGAGGCGATAGACATCGTGGACGAGTACCAGTTGATGTGCCGTTTACTGGACATCACCCCCCTCCCCAACAACGGGACCTGGTCCCGGGTGGAAGCCATGTTGGGCGGGGCCATTTCCAGCGCCGTATCCCAGCATGCTTGTGTTACCTTGACTTTAGCTATCGCCCAATTTGTGTTGATCTTTTTCAGTGTTTATTGGTCTCTTAAATAGCTGGGGTACATTTTCCCTCATCAAAGTCCTTTGCATCCTGACGGGCGTCCTGACATTCCCTAGTGATGATAATAAAAAAACGTAATCTCCAAGCAGATCTTTTGGTGGCTGCAAAGACATTTGATTTTGAAAAAGAACACCGTGGGAATTTCGTAATCCGTCCCGATTTACTATCGCGCAAAGCTGATATGCTATCGTGCTTTCCTTTATATGCCTCAGATAATATGGCCTAACATGGCTAATTTGGGATGCCAGATTAACATTGCAAATCCCCTGTTTATTTTTGATGTCTCGTTTGGCGCTGCCTCCTTTTTTTATAGGATACCTTAATTATATTAAACACCTACTTTAATAATAGCGCGTGCATTTTTTTTTCGTTGTAAAGTCTTGTGTATTTCAAAACATGTTTTCTTGTTTGAATCAATGTCTCTATACCTCCTTTTTGAAGAAAGTTGACTGATGTTGTCTACAGCTATAGGCGTGTCTTATGCAAATGTTGAGTAAACAAAAACAAAGGGTTTCTGCCCTGCCCACAACACTAGCACGTGAACGACTGGCTTCTTCGCATGCCTTGCTGTGTGTGCACCGCGGCATAACGTAAATATTAAAAACTACCAATATATATCATATAAGTTAATTCAAAGTCAGTATTCTGCTTTTAGATATTCTTTTCAATTTATTACATCTTTGTAAAATACAATATTAATGCGCGTATTACTATTTTACCAAAGTATGGGGTGGTTATCATTATTTGGTTGGATGCGGTATCATGTGTTGTTCCCCTGCTCGGTATCACGTGACGTCAGTCAGTCTAAATAAAAACCTCTGACCTACGGGGAAAAGTTCAAAGATTCACAGGGAAATTTCCAGAGCAGGGAGCAAGAAGTTGTGCCTTTTTCGTCGTACGATCGTCTCACAGAGCCGTAAGACCAGGATGGCGAGTTGTAGGAACTCCGTACTCCGTCTGATCGCTGTTGTCGTGGTTTTGACGTCCGGTTCTGGAATCGTGGCCGCCCCTTTCAAAGGTAAGCTTCCGGGTTCGTACTTCGTCTTTCTCGGGGGAAACCGTTACAAATTTGTTCTGCGTTTTGTTATAACTTTTGTAAAATAGTAGTGGGTAGCAATTCGTAGATAGAAATGAGCAGAAATCGGTGGTGATTTGGTGATCGGTGTTTATTTTGACGTGGGCCCCGCACCCACCACTGAAAACATCCTTGCCCTAGGCAAGGGCGAACTGTCAAAGCAAGAAGTCAAAACGGTCATATTGTATATTTTTTAAAGTTGTGTGACGATATTTTGCACAGAGTCGTACGTTGGATTTTTATTTTTGTCCGAGCGTCCAAGAATAATTTTGTGTTCCCGCGCACTGGTAAGTGCCTCATGAATTCCTTTGTTTGTCACATAATGATCTTTACCCCCTGTGAAGTTGTCTTGTGACGATCAGCTGATTGCCCATCGATTGCCTGCAGGGTGCATGGGAAACATGACAAATGTCACGTAGGTGATTTTTTGGCAACACCTGTGGGGTGGAGCGTTTTTGTCCACACTTCCTGACATGTGAAGTCTTCAATTTTTCTTCTAATTGTTTTTACAGTGAGTAAAGAGACACCTTTTTTTTTAAACAAACAATTCAGCCGAATTGCCCCGAGGATGGTCACCAAAACGTCAGCTGAATAAAAACATTTGGTTGTTTAAAAATCCTTATTCAGTGACTTGCCAACTTGCTGAAACTGTTCACATTCTATTTTACAGCATATGACAAAGACACAGCGTCCCTGCGTTTCATGGTACTAGGAGACTGGGGAGGAGAGCCAGTGTACCCCTACAGTACAGGTGTGGAGAAGGCTGTAGCAGACAGGATGGGGAAAGTGGCTGACACCATGGACTACAAGTTTGTCTTGGGCCTGGGAGACAACTTCTACTTCGACGGCGTACAGAACGAATTCGACAAAAGGTTTAAGGTACGTAGTCCGTTGGTTAGCAAACCTGTCTCTTGACCACATAGCTGCTGTCTTTTTGAATTTAGGATTGACAGAAACCCCATGCAGACCCCAATGACACGTTGATGACAACTTGAACACTTTTCCCTGCAGGAAACCTTTGAGGATATCTTTAAAGCGCCCTCTCTTGACATTCCCTGGTACTTCATCGCCGGTAACCACGACCACAATGGCAACGTGACAGCCCAGATAGAGTACTCACACAGGTCCAAGAAATGGTATGTATTGATGGAGCTTTTATAAGTCTATTGTGTTCAATAGCCCTTAGCCTGTGTTACACAATTTGTCTTGCTGTCAGGGGCTAATTGAGCCTCCTCCCCTATCAGTATAGCCGGTATAACCGCCCTTTGGCGTAACACACCGTGGGCTATCTGCCCTGACATATACAAATGTACATCCATGTCCTACTATATTGAGGGATCATGTACAAATGTTCCAACAAGTCATCTTGCCTGCATAGGAACTTCCCCAGCCTGTACTACAGTCTGAACTTCACGGTCCCCGGTACCAACACCACGGTCACGATCATCCAGTACGATTCCATCACGCTGTGCGGGAACTCTGACGACTTCCAGCCCGGGCTCCTGATGGGGCCGGAGGATCTGCAGTTCGCCAACACTCAGCTGAAATGGCTGGAAGACCAGCTGAAAGCTACAAAGTGAGCACTGACTCCTCCTATCTGAGCTAGCCAGTACTGCATGACAGATACTTAGTCTGTGACAAGATTTGTACAGAAAATGGTTAAGAATTATACTGACACTGACAGTAGTAGCATGCTTAGTCCAGTGGTTAGCAATGTTGCCCGTGGATCAAGAAGTCATGAGTTTGATTCCCAAGTCTCTCATCTGACATGCATGCTACTAGAAAGGGTCAGAGTCCATATGAAGCAAATTGAACAAGGTCCAATGTTCAATGTACTTGTTGAAAAGAGCTAGGGAAATTTCTCTTGTAAATTGTACAGATTGTCTTCTCTGTCACGACCAGTGGAAGAGTAGCTCAACTGTTCACTGAGTTCATTTGAGCTAAACTGGATCAACAAACTTTCTTAAATGTCAGCATCATTTCAGAAGAATAATAGCCAAAAGCTTGATGTAGAGTTTTGTACATTGGCCTTACTTGATAGTGCTGTTGCAATGTAGTGATTGTATTTCTAATGTTTTTGTTTTGTTGTTTTTGTTGTCATTTCAGATCGGACTACGTGATCGTGACTGCTCACTACCCTGTGTGGTCTGTGGCGGAACATGGTCCAACTAAGTGCCTGGTGCAGCAAGTAAAGCCACTTCTAGAACGTTATGGAGTCACTGCGTACTTTAGTGGGCACGACCACAATCTTCAGGTATGTCATAGTTTCCATGCATCATTCTTTTCTTTAAACAGTACAGTACATTATTGTATTGTAGTTAGGCCAGTTCTAAACAGCCCATTATGTAACGTTGAAAATAGTCTCAAGAAGGAAACCTTTATGAGAATGATATAAACAACCTTTTTTGGCAAATTTGCATCACTATTTTATATCTCTGGTATTTGTGAACAGCGCAAAAACAGCCTGCACAATGTCCACAGATTTTCTAAAACCATCACAATTACGAATAAATAGACTGGGTTTTAGAAAATACACCTTTTAGAAAAACATACCTTACAAAAATCACACAATCATGTTAAGTTGTTGTAGACCAGTTATGAAGCAACCATTCAAACAGCTGTGTTCTTGAAGTAACTGTATCTTTCTTCTTTTTACAGCACTTGAAGGAGAAAGACTCAGATGTGGAGTACTTCGTCATTGGATGTGCCAACTTTGTCGACGACTCTCAGAAGCACACAGACTCCGTACCGAAGGACTCTCTCAAGTTTAGATGGGCGGACAAGGCTGGGATGGGGGGCTTCGCACACGTAGAGGTCACAGAAGACAATATGACCTTTACATTTTTGGAGGCCGCCAACGGTAAAGAGTTGTATCAAAGTGTCATGAAGCCAAGGAAGTTGAAGTAAACCAGT